AAATACCAGCTGGAACTACCATTTGTAATATTCCTCAACTAGATGTGCTGTACAAATACCATTTCATGTTTCAGTTGGTACATGACTCGAGACACTGTAGTATATTTGAAATTCATCAAAAACTAGTCCATGGTAATGTTAGGAGATTTGGTACTATTCATCAGAGATTTCACCGTGTCAGTGAAGCAAGTCTATGCTGAATAGCCGAGAGGCACTCTCTAGCTTTTTCATCCTTGCTAGGAATCAACTTTAGATTAGTGTGTACCATAGTTTGATGTATATGTATTGAAAGACTTCCCAAAATAGGTCACCAGTTACAGGAATATGATGACTCGTCACGTTTCCTTTAGTTTTAGTCACTGTCACTGACGTATACATACCTAACTCCGTGAGGTTTTCCATATTATTCTGTAAGGTTCATAAAATCTGCGTATCCGGTATGCGGAAAGATGTTGAGACTGTCCCAAACATCTACACCTTGCCAAAAATTTAAAATAACACATGTTGTTCCTAAGTGACCTCGTTCTGATGATGGTAACCAAAAAACAGACAAAAAAGACAAGCAAGGCAATCAGATGGGGTTCATTTGAGTTTACCGTTAAAACGAAACTGGTGTGCGAATGGCTATAGTCGGAGAATTTTGCACAATATTGGTTGAAGTAGAATATAAAGTTGACTGAAGGAAACTCGGGGACCGCGCCAATTTGATGAGCCCTAAGAAGGGCGGAACTGCTAGTGGGTTGCCAAGAGGTATTCAAAAGCCTTGTGAGTGGCGTTCGTCCGAAGAAACGGAAAATATATTTTTGGCACACCTTAGGCGATTGATCATTCAGTGAAAACCAGAGCAATATTTGCACAATGAATCTTCCTATTAGTTGCTTCCTGGGGCGATACGATCCGCATGGTGGACTGTTGTATGACTAACGCAGAGCGTCAACACTGTCGTAACAGTCGTTCACTGGGGTTACGCAACTACTGAGTTACTAGGGTTAGAAATTTCGCTAGATGTATCGTTCACACTGATCATTCGCGTCCGAAAGTCCTTCTGGTTCAAACGCTCAATGCATTGTGATAGCAGATCAAGGTGTTGAATGGAGCCATATCAGGTGAATGTAACCACCCAGCCATCAGAAAACAGTGGGATGTGCAACGACAGTTTCCACTGAGGTCAAGACTAGGCTTATTTAGGCCCTTGCAGATAAACCTTGTTACCTGCACTCTTCAATGACCACCAAGCGCTAAATTTCTGTGTGTTATTGAGAGTGCGGATGCGGTCTTGCTTTGTTAACCTTTACATTTTTAATGACGAACTTTGACTAGGTTCGATTTAAAAAAGCTTATATCCCGTGTTATTTCTCCAACTACTGGCCGACTTATTCCCAATAGGCTGATGATTTTCTTTGGAGGCCTCTGCTACATTTGAGAATTGATTAAGAATTCACCCTGTTGATCCTGTGACTTTTATTCCCATCGTCCTCTATCAATCTTAAAGAAGTAATTAGCTTTAGTGGTCGAAAGCATTAAAAACTGGAACCACGTTTGTCGGGAGTGTTTAGCCCGCAGACAAATTGACTGCTTTGGGGTTTAACCAGCACAATTTGTAGTTAACAAGCAACTAAGATTGTACATATTATTGCATTTGGAAGTGAACACCTGAAAATTCCGAGGCGAACCAGACTGGGCGTCCCAGAAATCGAGAAACATTCTGAATTGTTGCACTGTAAGACCGGTAGAGAGGAGCGGGCATAAAGCCAAAGGAAAGAAGTCAAATGATTTTTTATGACAGAGTCTGAGAAATTTGCGTTTCCGAGAAATCCCTTGGTTTTGTCACAGAAGAGTCGAAACCAAGTGTTGGGGTTCTCTCCAACAAAGTGCGTCTTATTCAATCAACCACGAACAAATCCTTTCTGCTAGCATGTTATAACCTGCCCACAGCATACGTCTATTTAGTAAGGGTGATTGTACGGAAACAAAGTCTTCAGTGTTTTACAAGCAAAGTTGGGACATTTCAGTTCCGATCCTAGTCAATAAGAAAAATCGCGGCTGTGCTATAACTTTTGCATCGCGCAAAGAACACGGAAACTCCCAAGTATTTGTGACCGACTATGCATGTTCCTTCAGTATCTTTTCGTCTGCCAGAATATCAAGCTGTTTAGTGCTTGTTGCGAATAGATTTATTCCGTCAATACTGCTTCATGAATTGTGCTGGTCGAACTTCTCCGCTATGATCCGTTCTGTGCATCAACGGCACTCGGTTTCCAGCTAACTGCCTTTCCATGTTAAGGAGAATTTCTACCAGACTATTACTGGTATAATGACGTTTATCCGCACCTATTAATCAAGAACAAACTAAAGAATGTAGCACCGATTTACATGGCAAGGTATTTTGCTTCTCAGAAAAAAGACCTTTTACTGGTCATCAGTTTCCTCGGCCAATTCATCAGTGAAATTCTGATAATCTCATCAGCACATAAGACCTCATTGACGGATGATTTCGAGCTTTTATGCGGAACGTGAAGATATTCGTACAAATGTTCGCCACCAGAAACTCAGCGGCAGTAGTAAAGTAGTCCAGTGCAATGTGACACGTTCGCAGACATCAATGATCCAGTTAGCTAGCAAAAAAACGACACGTTATTACTAGCATTCACAGACACTCCGGAAACAGGATACTGATGTCCTACTGCTGTACACACAGGTTATTTTATTTGAATAGTATTTATGACGGAAGAGAAATAGGAAAGTGAATAGAACATACGCACATCCTGTTATTACGTCTGCAACATACAGTCGGTCAATATGGACAGAAATTCCTGTATGAATGCTGCTGGTGTAACGGTGGTACTACTGATTGGGAGGCACGCTAGTAGTATGTGTTGGTCGTGGAAGTTAGCCTTGCGTCTTTTGAAAAGGGGAGATCTGTTGCGGAATTTGTGAAGTCGCTTTGTAACACTTGCTTTGATTTGAGCGATGAATGATTGGAGTCAATGAATATCCAGGAAATTTCAAGAAGACGCGTTGAGGAGAAGATCGATGTCCAGTTTTTGCAAATAAGACGCAAATGAGAGTTTTGTTTTCCTGTCCAATGGTCGGTAACCGGTCAGTTGGCATTTCCTAATAAATAACTCCGAAGCGAAGACCTTCTTTCTTTCACTGGTACTGAATGGCTACGTATTACTCGGTGTCTCCGGTCAATTAAGAAAGACAGGGGTACGTTGGCCCCACCACGAAGGGCGAAGAGCGTTCACATGTCTTGGTTCATATTTCATTCCCTTTTGCTGTGTCCTATTCTGGCCATGGAAAACGAGAGTTTTTTGAGCGGACGATACTTTGCAAGGTTGGCAAACGAGCAGACCACAGTGGGTTGGAATGTTGGAGGGATTCCTTGGGTGGGGTAACTTCTGCTCCAACAGAGACCTGTTACCTCGTCAGCTCATTTTGAACTCCCTGTTTCTAACGCATTTCTCAGACTGTCTACCGCAATGGTCAAATCTGTGCAACAATCCAGTCCTCACTATTATCTGTTACATGTGTCCTTTGAGATTCAGCGATGATAATCCAGCGATGGGCCTGTTTGCACAATTCTCATTTTTCAGAGCCTCGCGTCACACTATAACCAGAGTTACTTCAACTTCCGAGATGCCGAGTGCGTTTCTCAGCTCCAGGTGTCACTCTGTGAATTTTTACAGGAATGTCCAAGGATTAGGTCCCATCGCGTGACGTTGTAATTTGTGAATGCGAAACATGTGCCGAAGGACTGGATCACCCTGGTCAGCTTCTCTAGTGTTGTAACTAAGTACTGTCCCCTCTCCAGTGACCTAGTGTCGAAAAAAGACTCACCAGCGAGGAACACAGGTGCTTTATTACGAACAAGAGA